AGTGAAACTATTCCATATGACACTGTAATGGTGCATACATGATATGAAGATACATGATAATACATGACGCCATGAAACATGATGGATGCAAATAAACATTTGTCTAAACCCATAGAATATACAACACAGAGTGAACCCTAAGGTAAAGTAACGACTTTAGTCAAAATTCCCTGGTGGCTCAGATGGTAACATGTTTACCTGCAATGTGGGAAACCTGGGTTCGATCCCTGGGTTGGGAAGATCCCCTGGAGAAGGAAATGGCAACCCACTCCAGTACTCTTGCCTAGAAAATTCCATGGATGGAGGAGCTTGATGGGCTACAGTCCATGGGGTGGCAAAGACTGAGCGACTTCACTTTCTTTTTCTCTTTCTTTAGTTAAAATAATGTATCAATATTGGTTCGTCAGTTATAGCAAATGTACCACACTGATGTGAAATTTAATAATAGAGGAATCTTTGGGGATGGGAGGAGTGTATATGAGAACTCTATACTTAATAGCCTATTAATATATTTTGATATATCATTATATGTAATTAACATTTTTCACCTATGACATTTCAAAATTATTTTTATATTGCATTATCCACTGAGGATGAAGTCTATTCTCTACTCAAGTCTAGAGCTATCTGTTTTTTAAATTATATATGTATTTATACATATAGTGTTTGTCTGTGTCTCTGTGTGTGTGTGTGTGTGTGTTTCTTTAAAACCTCTGTTTGCTTCTCAATGTCCTCTACAAAAAAATTCATATTCACTCCTATCATTGTAGGACCTAGAGCTGTGCCTAGTCCATAGTAGATTCCCACTCACTATTTTCTTTCTTTTTTTTTTGATGACTCACTATTTTCTAAATCACTGTTGCATGATATGTTGAATGTAGCTGACTGCGAATGCACTAAAGTGTGCGATCCTCTAGTTCATGCATATTTCTCCCTCTTATATACAATGCTACAATGATAGGTGTTGCCAAATGCCTTGTTGACTTCAGGAAACAACATGCCTATAGCTTTCCCCTGCTGTGTTAGACCAATAACTCTAGTCCATCTCAGTTCGGCTTGTTAGAGAGTAGGTAGAAAAAATAATAAGGACAGTTAAACAGTAAAGAGCCCATGAGATGTAGATTAAAAGGCACAGCTATTCACTTAAATTCTACTTCCCCAGTGTTCTTAAAAACAAAGTATAGATTTGTTTGAAGTTACTTGGAAGGCTTTTTAAAGTCCTAGATAGTATGGTTATTAATACTGCCCTAACAGTATTTTGTGAGGGCTTTCCCAGTGGCTCAGGGGTAAAGAATCCACCTGAAATACAGGAGACACAGAAGATGCAGGTTCGATCTCTGGGTCAGGAAGATGGCAACCCATTCCAGTATTCTTGCCTGAAGAAGCCCATGGACAGAGGAGCCTGGTGGGCTACAGTCCATGGGGTTGCAGAGTTGGACACAACTGACCACAAGCACATAACAGTATTTTATTACCATTATTATTCCTTAACAAAGAAAACAGATATTTTTAAGTTCATCTTTGAGTAAACTTGACCCTCTACCTGAAAACAGGCCACTGAGTTGTACCCAGCTGTGAAGAGATATTAAAATCCATTTAGATCAACTACAATATCAGCATATTGGTATTATAAATATCTAATTATATATATATTTGTTTTAAGCACCACAGATAAAATAAAAACATGTAGAAGATTCTTATGTGACAGTCAGACTTTGGGAATTTGATTTCTGTGAACTACAAAGACAAAGAAATGAGAATCCATTAAGAACTCTAAACTTAACAGAAGGGTTAAAATTTGTCATGACGGGGAATTGCTACCCAATAGCAGTATCTCACCTTCCATTCTTGGGTTGGTAGGACTCTGAAATGGTGCCAAAATTTGCCTATCAAGAAATTATGCTGCATTGCAAAAGTACATGAGTTATCAGGCTATGCCAGACTGGATGTTGCCTGGGAAACTGTCACTGGTTTCTACTACAGCTGGAAGGGAAAGTAAAGTGTCTGTTTCTAAGGCAAGAATATTTCCAAAATCTCTCTCTCTCTGGCCCTTTTATAGCTCCTGCAGTCCTCACTGTTCCTGTGTCTTCTACCTACTGCTCCTGTTTGATCTGATTCGATATTTTCTCAAATTTGACTCCTTCATTATCTAGACAGAAGTTAAAAAAAAAAAAAAAAACAAAGGATACTAGAGCCCTATTCTCTCATGAAGCAATCTGCTAAAGCAGAGTGGCTTCTGCCCTTTTAGATGATACATGTGTTCTCCAGTTTGCCACAAGCCCCACTTTTCCCTCATGTCTCCAACACTGAGGCTACATATTAAGTTTTTTTTTTAATATTAAGTTTTTATTTTGCCATTATACTTTCATTTCTGTTTTTTCTTATGGTAGAAGGGTATTTTTCTGAGCCTATATATTTATCAGAAGTGGCAAATAAGAGATATAAGAGGTTCAAGTTTTTTTTTTTTTTAAGTACAATATAGTCATCACTTGGTATCCACAGGGGATTGATTTCAAGACCCCCAGAAGATACCAAGTCCATCATATAAAATGGCATAGTATTTGCATATAACCTATGCCCATCCTCTTATATACTTTAAATGCTCTGGATTATTTATAATACCTAATACAATATAAATACTGTATAAATAGCTGCCAGCACGTGGGCCATTCAAGTTTTACTTTTTGTAACTTTCAGGAATTTCTTTCTTTTTTTTTTAAATAATATTTTATCTTCTTAGTTGGTTGAATCCATGGGTGTAGATGGAACGCATGAAATGAGAGGGCTGGCTATACAATCCTTAGAGGAAACAAAGATTATTCATACATGTTTAGTATGCAAAATGGGTGTCCATCCAAAGAATAGACCCTGCTCATTCATCCTCTTCCATCTCACATCTAATCCCTATAGCCACTGGAGCTTGTACCTCTCAAGCATAGACGTGCTCCTGGAGCATGTAGCAGGCTCTGGATTAGCCTGTCCTTACTTGCTGCCTAGTTTCCTTAATCCCCCAGAGCCTACAGACTGGGACAGGCCGGTCAGACTTTTAAAGGTAAAGCTCTGAAGGCTCTAATTCTCTTCCTCATTTACTCATCTCATTGTCTACAAATAAGCTAATTTCCACAGTCAAGCCATAACATTTCCTCCTAATTTAGCAGTAAATACTATATGTTGAATACTATATACTGAATACTATCTGTTGAATCTACAAAATGTTGAGCCCCAGTTCAGTTACCTCCCTAATCATTTCACCTTCCTTGTAATTGAGGTTAGATGTAGATGGTTATGGGCTTCCCATGTGGCACTAGTGGTAAAGAACCTACCTACCAATGCAGGAGGCGTAAGAAATACAGGTTCGATCCCTGGGTCAGGAAGACCCCCTGGAGGAGGGCATGGCAACCCACTCCGGTATTCTTGCCTGGAGAATCCTATGGATAGAAGGGCATGGCTGGCTGCAGTCTATAGGGTTGCACAGAGTCAGATACAACTGACTGTGACTTAGCACAGCACAGCATAGGTTGTTATAATAAGCAATTCGTTTAGCCAATAGTGTTTTTTGGAGGAGGGGCACATTGTGTGGCATATAGACCTTAGTTCCATGACTAGGGATCAAACTCATGCCCCCTGAAGTAGAAGTGTGAAGTCTTAACCACTGCACCAGCAGGGAAGTTTCCCTAGCCAATAGTTTTTTTATGAAAATGAAGGAAAGGGAGATCAGAGAGGAGGGAGTAGACAGGAAGAGGAACAGAAACAGGTCTTAGTAAATGTGAACCATAATATGATCAATAGATGGCATAAGCCCTAGGGTGTTTTACTCTAGATCTTCTCTCCTTGGTCATTCCGTTAGCCTCCTGGAGACAAGGCAAAACTGTATTTTCATGTTCTGCACTCTATATTAATTACTTTAAAAATCCTAGTTTTTTATTTATTTTTTTATTGCAAAATGTTTATTGGTAATAACTTTATATAATTTACTCCGTATATTTGATGTTACAAGCAACGGTGGTTGGATGAGAGTAGGCTACACCCGAAGCTGGCTGCTGGCTATACTGGGCCGCAGCCGCCGCCGCCGCCGCCCCGCTGTGGGTGAATCCAAAGTAGTTGCCGGTCGCCATTTTGGCATCTTCCCCCAGCCGGCTAGGCACATAGGTGAAAGAAACTACAGGGCATATGGGAATCATGGGCTCGGGCTGCTGCAGCTGAACTCTGAACTCTCACCCGCTGCCTCCCTCCTCAGCCCCGCTCCTCCTCAGCGGAGAACAGACCGCCGCCTCCAGCTGCACTGAAAATCCTAGTTTTTTAAAGGACCTGGTATGTTGGAAAAGAAAGTGAGAAAAACAGAGTTGAGTGGAGTCATCCACCTTCCCCTCTGTGTCCCCAGGTGCCAGCACTTTCCAGAGGACTAGCTAGGTTAGCAATGTCTGCTCCCCTGTAACTAGACGTCTGTCCTAATGGCCAGGGACTCTGATAGATTCATCCAGAAGAACTGGTGCCAACTTCATTTGCATCCGGACAAAATGTCTCCCGGCTCAGGTCAGCAAGGACTTTGAATGGGATGCCAGCAAACAGAGAACCCAAAGCTCATGATGAAAAGGTGACCCTGGTAGTCTCTGGCTGAGAACCTTCAGGGAAAAATCTCTTCAGGTCCTGAATGGTCTCCTGTGGTCCAAACACCAAGAAAAATGACTTAAAGCTGAGAGTGAGAGACTGAGGGCTAAATTAGTTTAGATCTTTGTCCCCAAACGTAAAAGAAATGATTAGGAAATCCTAGCGTTGGTCTGAGGAAGTAGGTGGGATTGGTTGAGATGAAGTGGGGAGCCGGCAGCCGGGCTCAACCCGGAGCACAGAAAACGTCGGGACTCTATGTAATTAGCTCCACGAAAGAGGAAGCCCGAGGCAGCTCCCCAGCAGCCTGAGGCCACAGGGCCACGCTCTCCAGCTGGCTGAGGTGCTGCCCCCACCCGAGCCCGCTGACGGAAGTGCCGTCTCTCTCCTGATAGGAGGAGGATGACCCAGCAGATCGGCAAGTGGCCAAGAGGAGCTCCCCCTGTCTTCTTCTCCTCTTAGCACGCGTGACAGTGTGGTATGCCCCCTGACCTTCTTCCTTCCTCCTCTGGGACTAAGCCATGACTGGACATGACAATAAGGAACTCGTCCTTGCCTGAACCTGTAAGTATGCATTCCTCGTCAGCAGACACAGCGCCAAGGTAAAATTTACCTCAGGCTGGTGAGCTGGTCCCCCGCCATGAAGGATACACCGCTGTTTCTAAGGCATCCACCGAGAGAGTTTATTCAGACAAAGCATCTGGGGCGGGGGGGATTTCCCACTTAAAGACATGATAAGCTCCTCATCTCGTTTTGTTTGACAGCCTCAGCAGACGACAGGCAAGATGTGCAGATTTTTCTTAGCCTACTTCCTCCTAAAATTTTGTCTGTGGTTAATCACACTCTGCAAGAGACAGTTTCATCCTGGAGGCTAACACTCTATGACTCCACCAAAGGTCCAGGACTTCTGAGCCTGCCGTAACCAGACACAAGCTCGAAACCAAAACAGTGACACGTTAAGTGAGGGACTTGGTGAAGTCAGTTCAGCGCCAGGTTTGTTCCCCACAGGTCCTAAGTCAAAACAGCCTGCCTGTCTTGGTCACAGTGCTTTAATTTCCAGCCCCATCACCTTATTATGCGACACCACTACAAGCATGTAAGTGGTGCGGTGCCCAGGGCAGAGGGTGGGCAGGGAGCAGGGACTGGGGGGCTGTGGGCTGGCTCTGGACCTTGCTACTTCCTAGCTGACTGGCCTGGGGGCAACACCTGACCCTCTAAGAAATCCTTCCCCTCATTTCATCTTCTTCCCGGAGATAGGAACTCACCCTGCAGAGTGGTTTAAAAAAGAACAACTGGGGCTTCTCTGGTGGTTCCTCTGTTAAGACTGTACTTCCGCTGCAGGGGGCATGGGTTCAATCTGTGGCCAGGAAACTAGGATCCCTTATGTCTCATGGCCAAAAAAGCAAGGTAAAAGGTGACAGCTAATGGACACCTACTGTCTGGATAGAAAGTATATTCCTAATAAATGATGGCAGTGATAATTATTGCTGACTTTGTAAAAGGAATTAATCCACTCAAAGTACTCAGAATAGTATACTCAGGAAGTGTCCTTTATTATTTATTCTTGTGATCTAAGGAAACCCAGATGCCTTGTCACTTTGGGATCTGCATGCCTCACGGAGGTAATACTATGTATTTGGCTAACATGCCTGATTTCAGAAAAATTTTGAAACGATTTAGCAGGTTAAATTCAGCCTATGAAAGGGAAGTGAAAGTGTATGATCTACATCTTAGAAACAGCAAAGACAGGAGGTCAGAGAATGGGCAGAGGAAGAAAAGAATATAGCTGGGAAGATAAATCAGGAAGCCACAGCAGGACTGCAGATCTGAGCTGAGGTCCAGGCTGTAGGGAGAGCAGGGGACTGACCCAAGTGTGGTTCAGCAGGTAGAATCTACTCTATTCTGGGTGGAGGAAGGCAAGGGAGAAATCACAGATGACCTTGTAATTTCTGTCGTGGAGCAATTAAGTGAATGTTGGCTTCACTTACTGAAAAGAACAACACACTTGGGGAATAAGATCATTAGTTTAGAACTGATTTTAAATTGGATCCTTGCATAGTCTCAGAGTTTATTCAACCAGCAGCAAAGAGAGATTTCTTTCTTCTTAGCAATTTTTGTCATGTATTTTAAAACTACTCTGAGATTTAATTAGCTTCCATCACCAAGAATAAATGCATATATGGAACATAAACACAGAATCTTTTTCTTCTGATACCAATATACCAAGTGACTAAGTCCACAGTTATACAACAGTTAGAAATCATGACAAAGAAAACAGAATGTTGACATATGACTCATAGGTTAAACTGGTGAACATCAGAGAAATAGGAGCAATTTGTAGTTCTCCATTTTCATTTATTTAAATGTATTTCAGAGATTCAACAACAAAATGTGTTAAGGAAAGAAACCGCCTAAAGGAGAAAGAAAGGAAGGCAAGGAGAAGTAACCAGTAGCATGATTTTTGTGAATGATAATTTGGAAAAATATTTAAAAGTCTACCATTTTACTGGTAGAATGGAACAGTGATGCACAAGTGACATACGAAACAAATGATGCTGTTTGGGGCACTCTATCTTACAAAGCAAATGTCTTTCGGAAGACAGTCTAACCGGAAGCCACTTTTCACACTGCTATTTTCAGTCATTTTCATGTCTTCATTAAGATGTTTCAAATCCTTTTTCAGTGATAGAAGTGATGCCCTAACATAGGGCTGTAACCACATTTCCAGCACTGAATTATAATCCTCTGCTTCTGTGTTTCTCCCTGACTGACAGGGAGCTCCTGAACAAGGAGACTATATTTTACTCAACCTTGTACCCACTGGTGTCAGGCACTGCACCTGGCTCTGGAGGCACTCATCGAGATTTATCTAAAAAAAAAAAAGGAAAGAATGAGTAGCATGCATCAAAAATATTAAGCAATTTGTACCTTCCATAAGAAGACAATTTCATGGTCAGGAATTTTGCAGTTAATATTTAAATATCTAATATTTAAGATATTAGAGCTTGCCTCTATAAATGTGGTATGACCAAGTTTCAGATAGTTTTGAAAATAAATTACTGCATCCATAATCTTCCATGCACACAGATGAAGGGTGAGCATTTTGGTTTCAGCAAATAATGTTACCAGTCTTAGAATTAACATATAATACCACTTAAAAGCATGCATTAAAAAAATAAGTTTTATTTTATTGAAGTATAGTTAATTTAAAATATTGTGTTAACTTTTGCTATACAAGTGATTCAGTTATACAAATATATATACATTCTTTTTTGTATTCTTTTCCAGTACAGTTTATCATAGAATATTGAATATAGTGCTATACAGTAGGATTTCCCTTTTTACCCATTCTATATATAATAGTTTGCATCTGCTAATCCCAAATTTCCAATCCATCCCTCCCCACAGCCCACCCTGATGCAACTACAGGTCTGCTCTCTATGTCTGTGCGTCTGTTTCTGTTTCACAGATAAGTTTGTCTGTGTCTTATTTTAGATTCCATATATAAGTGATACCGTATGGTATTTGTCCTTGTCTTTCTGACTTCACTTAGTATGATAATCTCTAGGTCCATCCATGGTTCTGTAAATGACATTATTTCATTCTTTTTTATGGTTGAGTGGTATTCCATTCTGTAGCTGTACCACATAGTCTTTTTTTAAATCTATTTTTTTATTGAAGGATAATTTCCTTTATAGAGTTTTGCTTTACAGAGTTTTGTTGTTTCCTGCCAAACCTCAACATGAATCAGCCATAGGTATACATAGACCCCCTCCCTTTTGAACCTCCCCCCCATCTCCCTCCCCATTCCACCCCTCTAGGTTGATACAGAGCCCCTGTTTGAGTTTCCTGAGCTATAGAGCAAATACCCGTTGGCTATCTATTTTACACATGGTAATGTAAGTTTCCATGTTACTCTTTCCATACATCTCACCCTCTCCTCCCCTCTCCCCATGTCCATAAGTCTATTCTCTATGTCTGTTTCTCCATTGCTGCCCTGTAAATAAATTCTTCAGAACCATTTTTCTAGATTCCGTAAATGTGTGTTAGAATACGAAATTTATCTTTCTCTTCCTGACTCACTTCACTCTGTATAATAGGTTCTAGGCTCATCCACCTCATTAGGACTGACTCAAATGCATTCCTTTTTATGGCTGAGTAATATTCCATTGTGTATCTGTACCCCATCTGCTTTGTCCATTCATCTGTCAGTGGACATTTAGGTTGTTTACATGTCTTGCCTATTGTGAATAGTGCTGCTGTGAACATTGGAGTGTATGTATCTTTTTAAAATTATAGTTTTATCTGTATATATGCCCAGGAATGAGACTGTTGAATCATATGGTAGTGACTGCACCAGCTTACATTCCCAAAATACCCAAGTATTTTTAAAATGACAGTGTTGTGAATAGCCCCCTCCAATATGACAACCTGAAAAGTAAAAGCCATTTTAAAGAGAAAATTTTCAAACACAGATGATGATTGTGAAAGGTAAAAGAGGAATCTCTGCCAGCCTCTCTGGGTGAGAAAAAAAAAATGATGCTCCTAGCATTTTGCAGGTCTAAAATATAGCTTCTTTATTTGAACAGTTTATGCCAACATGGATCGTGGAAAGGAAATTTTGTTGTCACCAATAAATAGTTAAGTCAACTGACTTAAACATCTCAAAATGAGTGTCTTCGAGAGCTGACCTGGGTTTGGACAAAACTGTGCTTTTACAGATATGGTGATCCGGTGAACTTTAGCGAAGTGAAAGTGGAATATTATTCAGCCTGTGAAAAGGAAACCCTGTCACCTACATCAACATGGATGAACCTTGGGGATGTTCTATTAGGTGAAATAAGCCAGACACAAAATGACAAATACTGTGTGATTCCATTTCTATGAGGTGTCTGAAAGTGAAAGTGAGAGTCGCTTAGTCGTATCCAACTCTTTGTAAACCCATGGACTATACAGTCCATGGAATTCTCCAGGCCAGAATACTGGAATGGGTAGCCCTTCTCTTCTCCAGGGGATCTTCCCAACCCAGGGATCGAACTGGAGTCTCCCACATTGCAGGTGGACTCTTTACCAGCTGAGCCAGCAGGGAAGCCCAAGAATACTGGAGTGGGTTGCCTATCCCTTCTCCAGGGGATCTTTCTGACTCAGGAATCGAACTAGGGTCTCCTACATTGCAGGCGGATTCTTTACCAGCTGAGCTACCAGGGAAGCCCATGAGGTGTCTATAGCAGCCAAATTCACAGAAACAGAAAAGTAGAATGGTGGTTCCCAGGGGCTGTGAAGAGCAGCAAAATGAAAGATATGGTTTAGTGGATAGAGTTTTTCCGATCTGTAAGATGAAAAAGTTCTAGAGCTCTATTTCACAACGGTGTGAATATACCTTGCAGTACTGCACTGTACACTTGGAAATGGTTAAGATGGTAACATGAGAGAGGGGGAGAGGGGATGGGGGAAGGAGAAACACTAGATTCAGAAAACTTAAGTCGGTAATCTTCTAATCAAGTTTAATACTATTTAAAGGTAAGGCATATTGCTAAATAATTCAAGATACAATCCTCCTAGTG